GAGTCGCCGAGATCGGGGCCCCGTCGGGCCGGGCGCTGCCCAGACAGTCACCAAGAGTCGGGGCCCCGTCGGGGCCGGGTGCTGGCCAGACACAGAGTCGCCGAGATCGGGGCCCCGGCGGGCCGGGCGCTGCCCGGACACAGAGTCGCCGAGATCGGGGCCCCGGCGCGCCGGGCGCTGCCCAGACACAGAGTCGCCGAGATCGGGGCCCCGTCGCGCCGGGCGCTGCCAGGACACACAATAAGAGACAGTCCCTGTCTCGGAGAGCTCCAAGTGTAAATAGACAGAGGGTGAGAGGGTAAACTGAGGCACAGCAGAAGGCCCATGACTTGTCCAGGGTTACCCAGCAGTTCAGTGGTGGAGCCGAGACCCCAGGAGTCCTCCAGTCCATCTCCGGCCTCCTCTATCCAAGCCAGGACTCCAGGTGCCATCTCCGAGCCATGCCAGGGGCCCCCATCCCTACTTCTGTCTCCCATGGGGCCAGCCCGAGGCAGGGTGGGGAGGTCCCCTCGGCCGGGGAGTCACCATGAGTTAGATCCGCCCCGTTCTGATGTTCTCCAGCGCGGCCCAAGGCCTCCCTGCCTCAGTTTCCCCAAACCCGGCATGCCCCCGGGGGAGGCCTTGCCGCTGATCCCCTCCCCTCCTCCCGCCAGGACCTGCGGGGCAGCGTGGAGCGGATCTGCCAGTTCCTGGGCAAGCCGCTGGACGCGCGGGCGCTGGACGGGGTGGTGGAGAACGCCTCCTTCCAGGCCATGAAGCAGAACAAGATGTGTAACTTCAGCCTGGCCCCCAGGTTCCTGCTGGACCAGACCCAGAGCTCATTCCTGCGGAAAGGTGAGGCTGGGCTGGGGGCGCTACGGGAGAAAATGGGGCCCCATAAGCTGAGTCCTGGATGAGAAGAGACGTAGACCCTGGCAGGGGCTGCGGGTCGGGAGTGAGGGGCACCGGCAGAGCTGGGGGTGGGGAGCCCAGGGCCGGGCTAGGGAGGGGGCTGGCGGGTCGGGAGTGAGGGGCACCGGCAGAGCTGGGGGGTGGGGAGCCCAGGGCCGGGCTAGGGAGGGGGCTGGCGGGTCGGGAGTGAGGGGCACCGGCAGAGCTGGGGGTGGGAGCCCAGGGCCGGGCTAGGGAGGGGGCTGGCGGGACGGGAGTCGAGGGGCACCGGCAGA